CATCTCCTGATGATATGGAGTGGTGCTCTTAGTGCTCTAGTTAGCACTGTCAAGCAACCTGAAATGGAAGCTGGCAGTTGTCCTTCCAAATGGCTATTGCTATGTGTACCCCAGAAGTGGTAAGCTAAGAAATCTTTTTGTAGTTGAACTCCTTCCAGTTTCATTCAGCAGGATACTGGCAAGCCGCTTTCTGTGTTAATTATTTCTGTCCTGATTGCCTGGCCACACAGAGCACTGTATTGACAGGATCACACTTCACCGTTCGTGAGTGCTTCCAGCTGAACACAGAAAGAAATGGAAATAAAGAAATTTCACCTGGAGACAAATCTTGGAAAGTCAGGGAAGGGGAGAGTGGAGGCACAAGAGCCATGTATCTCCCAGATCTGCATCAATCCTTCTGCGATCTTAGAAATACTTAATAGCAGAAGAATGACACAGTATATTACTCATTGGAAAACACTTAACGGGTCTGATCCTGAAATGAATTACAGTGGCTTAAATCTGGAATGTCTTCAGCAAAGTCAGAGATTAATCAAAAAGAACTTTAATGCCTGATTAGGAGAGACTGCCTCTGCATTGCTGGCAGGTACAAATGAGAGGACCTAGGCATAAAATTACTTCATTGCTCCCACAAATCAGTGAGCCAAACGGCTACATCTTGACATTCACACCCAGCAGTAAATTATAGTCAGGCGCAAAAATCTGGGAACAATTTAATAGAGGTGCAAAACTGAGACTAAAAGCCACAGGGTATTTGAATCCTGTTAACACAAATATTACCTCTTAATGCTCTCCATAACATCATGCCTTTCGAAGAGCACAAGTGAATACAAAGGACAATGTTGTCATGTCATGGTTTAAACCCAGCCAGCAACAAAAAACAGCCCCAGCACCCTGGAAATCTGCTTAATAGAATTTGCACCACCGCTTTCCCATCCTTGGCTTCTCAGTCACAGAATACAGCAATATTCTCAGTAAGGGAAAAGCTATGGGAGCTGTCTACGTGAAGAGTGTCCCTTTGTACAGCACTCACACATCCAGGTTCCAACTGTACCTGCATACCAAGGCCAGTCTAAGAACGTAATTCACACATGCCACAGCTCTGACTGGCCATAGAGATGGACATCACCAAAGGTAAGGCTATTTCTCACATAAGCCAGGGTTGCTTATCCAAAATCAAGCACAATTATGTAGGGTTTGTGGCACATGCCCTGTAAAATAGCAAGGGCCTATAAAGGAAACTGAGCACCCTGTTGTGCACATGCAAACTCCACGTAGTAATGAAACTACTTCAAAAAATGAAGGTTAACCTGAATAAGTGAGAAAAGAAATTGGAGCCTTTCAAACTGGAGAGAATCACTGCTTTTCTCAATGAATTAAAAAGTTACAGTTGAAAGACTGTAGTTAGGGTGGCCCATCCTCTCCCTGAAGCACAAGCTCCTTGTTTTGGCAGTGAGTTGAACAAGGTGGTGCTAAAGAATTCATTCATGAGTCAGTTAAAGCAAACTCATAGCCCTCTTCTTCATTGTTCCAGGGTTAAATGGAACATTTAACAGTTTTGAACAACACAGAGTCATGAAAGACTTCATATACAGGAAGTCATGAATACATTCATAGCTTAATGTATTGGCTGAATACATTCAGGCTGAAGCCTGCAGAGTCTCTTTAGGAAAATACAGTGGAAGCATGTTGCTGTGTTGTTTTATGAGGACTGCTGATTTAGGATTACAGAATGGTCTGGGCTGGAAAGGACCTTAAAATCATCCAGTTCCGAACCCTGCCCCCTTCACAGGGAAGAACTTCTTCCTTAGATCTAACCTGAACTTCCCCTGGTTCAGTTTGACCCCATCACCCCTTGTTCTATTGCTCCAGCCCCTGCTCATCCTCGTGGATTCCTTTGGACTTGCTCGAACAGCTCCATGTCCTTTTTATGTTGGGGATACCGTAACTGCACACAGTGCTGCAAGTAAAGACTTCCTGCACACAGCTAGCCACCTGTAGAAGAAGGACACAATGGATTTGGCTGGGTGCAGACCCCGCAGTGGCTGATGTTGAGGCTCTCCTGACTGCCAGCTCCTTGCAGAACCAGAAGGGAAGGCTCAAGAGGTCTCACCTCATGGCAGAAGGTAAGCCCAGTCTCTCAGTACAAAAAAGCCACTATCTTGGCACCCTTGATCTGCCTCCTCTGGGTCTTGGGGAGAAAAAGCTTTGTCCTGACAGCTCCATGCAGGAGGTCTGCGCTTCAGCCTGGGAGAACACAAGCAGGTAGTGCAGTACGTACTGAGCCACTGAAGTCTGGTTCAAACATACTTCAAAGCTTCCAGAAGCCAACAGGGGTCTTATGTATCGCTACAGATATTCTCAATCTGGAGCATTCTGTCCAAGTCCACACAGTGGGATCTCTACAGAGTTATAAATAGACCCCAACTCTCAGGACTCCCACTCCACTGCTCCAAGTCCTTCTCACCATTCCCTGGCTGTACCTGACGCTTTTAGATACTGTGTCTTACTTTTTCTCTGACTTCAATGCACTTTTTTCTAAGGTAAAAGGCGAGTTTTGCTTGGACACCGGCTCACCTTTTCATCAGGCTTATCCTTCTTTCCAAAAGCACACCAGGAAGTGGACTGTCAGATGGGAAGTGGTAGGAAAGAATCTCATCAGAACAGACATAGCATCTTTGAGCCCTCATGGAAATTTGCTCACAGAGCTTTACCAGCTCGCACCTGCTAGATACTGATACCCTTTTCTCTGCAGTTATAGTTGTTACAGGTCCATTTCATGTCAGCTTTGTGCTGTCCATAGGCAATCCACACATAGCCAAAACAGGTATCTCTGTTGAACGGTCCAGGATACACCCTGTAGCTGGATGCCTCAGTCTGCAATGCTCCTATTGTTTTCAGTGAGTGAGGGCAAAGCTCGAAGTATTCATTATACCTAGAGCTAAGCATAAAGTCTAACAGCAGAAACAAAGGGAAAATATACAGTGCAGCCAGTTTTCTCCAAATTGTTGTAGGCTTTTATGGAATCATAAAGATCAGTAAAATGGTCTTTGTGTAACATACCACAATTCCAAACATAATAAACCTAAAATCAATGAACATTCTTTAAAACAAGTGAAAACACCCACACAGTTCAGATTTCATTGTGTTTAGATATGCAGTAGATGTTCTGATACATCAACTTTGATTTTGCCTTCCCCTCCTCCCAGATACTCTTTTTATCAGGTTGCCTGTATGAAATGCATTGAACACAGTGGGGGGGTGTGTGGGGGAAAGCGGTGTTTGGTTTTAAGCATTCATTAAACATCTGTAGGAGTTAATACAAAGGAAGAGCCTTTGAATACATCTAAAAATTAGGAAATAGTACTTCTGATCTTGACTTCATCCTCATGCATCAGTGAACACGTTTTAATTTTGTTCATCTTTATTGTGTTTAAACTAAACACTGAAAACAACAACCCTCATCCAACTGTTAGATATCATTTCTAATGACAGGGTAGCTTTTGTTCTAAATGCACATGTAAAAAGACTTTTGCTTTAATATTCCAGGTTTTAGCTCTTCAAGTTAAAATAGTGCTTTACAAGTGATCTCTACTGATAATGACATACATTTACATTAGAATTCAAACTCGACTCTCTACCTTTCATAATCTACACATATCTTTTGTTTTGTTTCAGGTTCTTTTTTTCCTCGCAGGTTATGTAGATTTGGCTGCAGTAGATTTTTCCCCCAAAGAATATCCAAAAATACATGTCTGCATAGCATAAAGTTGGAAGAACTGTTTGCCGCAGTCTGCTTAACAAAACAAGTTGTTTTTCTGGTTGCAGATTATTCATGAGAAGGCATCAAAGTTTTACAAATGCATCCATTATTAGAAATTATTCTTTGATTATCATCATTTAGGGCCAAAAGCGACTATGAGTTCATCCAGTTTGACCTCTTGTACCATATAAGCGACTACAGTTCACCCGTGCACTAAGCTCAAAGACTTCATTAGGCTAATGTACTTCAAGTCCTCAGATTAAGTTGTACTCCACTGCTTGAGAACAAGACAGACAAAGCTGCCAGTAACACCTAAGCCCCCTGCAATAGCAAAGAATTATTGATATGAGCTATGCCCAGATCATCCCAGCAGGTGAGGTTTTAGATTTAATGAGTGGCAGGACCCAGACACCTGAAGATGATCTTGGAGAAGATGATGCTCTACATCAGAGTACCCATCCACTCTGGTCCCAGGGCAATTAAAGAAGGATTTTGGTCCCTAAGCATAAATGCCTGATGACACTTGACACTTCAGTGTGCCTAAATGCAGGATGGCACAGCAGGGACTCAGACGCCCAGGAGTGTTGGGTGAAGGCAGTGATAAGTGGCAGCAGACCCTGTTTTACAGCTGCATTGAGTCTCAAGGATGAGATTCATCCCCACACCAGGACACCTAAGTGTAGGTGCCCCACATGTGTCTCTGAGCTTCCTTTTCTGTCCATGGGGATTTATACACAATACACTGGGAGTCTAGCAAGCTGCTTACCCCCCCACAAGCAGATACCAATGCTTGGTGAGCTGGCAGACTCTCTGCTGATGAGCTCCCCATTGCCCAAATCCCACCCTGAAAGGCTCTAGGGCTTCAGAAAAAAACAAGGGAGAACCTGGCAAGATGTAGGCAGGTGTGTGCATGCAGAAACTGCCTCCACAGACCATGACCAAATCAACCCTGAAGCACAAGTTTTCATGAGACACGCTGTCTTAACCCAAGAAGTGGCAATGTGAAGAGATTATTGATGGCAATACTGGCAACTCATCAAGGCTTATGACAGGACTTGTCAAAACTCACCATATCCAGGCTGACCTCCCCCAGTCTGCTTTAGCAGATGTCTTTCTGGTGAGCTATCGTGGACCAGTGGGTAGTTCCTTGGGTGCATTGCCTGCTATGGGGCTTCCTGGGAAGCCTTTTTCCCCCCCTTACTATTCCCAGTGACAAGCAGACATCTCAGATTTGCTAGTCTCTTAATGATACATGCTCAACCTCTACCTCAGGCACATTACAACCAGCCTTGGTAGTTCGGTCCCTATCTCTTGTAAGGCTTTGATATTTCCTTTCCCTTCATGCTGTCAGGTATTTGCACACCGGGCCTGGGGGGAGCATAGGAGCATGCCCATCCCTACTTAAGAAACACTCTTTCTTCATGGCAAACAGTCATATTTCACTCTGTCCGTGAAATCCAAGAGACGTGAAGATGGTGCAGTCTTGCACAGATCTCCTCTCAGAAGTGCTAAGCAGAGAGCAGCTCCCCATAGCCTCCAAAGCTACACATTTCCATAAAAAACAGGGATTGAGGCCTTCCCGAGCAGTCGAGCTCTTTCCATCCTAGGTAAAACTAATCTGTATTCCAATCTGAAGAAAGTCTCTGAAAGGACAAAACATGCATGTTGATGGCAGAGGGAAAAAAACATCGTATGTCTGCTCATTGGGGAAAAAAACTCCAAGAATATTTAATGTGTGAAAATAGGACTCCAGTTATGCTGTTAAGAATAATGAAATCTAGGGTGCTAAGTACTGTATGTGTCGCTGCACAAGTTAAGCTGCCTGAGGCAGTTTTAATTTCTCTAGCCAATTTCTCTTAAGTTTCCTTTAATTTACGGCCCAAAGTATTTACCACCTGTAGAATGTAACTCATTTGTTAGCAGGGTTTAGCAGGAACAGCATGGCCAGAGAGGCTGAGGAGAAGGAGGGAGCGGAGCCGACACATTGGGCTGCAGGATAAGCTGCTCCAGGCATTTCTCTGGCTGCATAACCTGCGCTGGACTGACTTGAGGTGCTGTAGCCAGTGTATTGAAGACCCAGAAAGGAAATCTCTAGCAGATTCTTGAATGGCTAATCTATTGTTGTTTTACTTTGGAGGCCCTTTGCTTTAGCTTAAATGGACCTCCTTCCAACAGCACACAAGTTGGCTGCTCCAGGATCTTCAGTAATTTCTCAGCAGAGTAGATGTTATATTCCTTTCTCTGCACAAAAAAAGATACATGTTGATATTAAGACTTTCAATAGTCTCTATATGTTAAGAAGCTTGCCATGCAATATCATTGCTGGAGTATTTTATTCTTTGTTCTTTCCTTTATTCCTTGTAGCTTCAGCCTTGTCAAGAAGAGGCAGCAATTAACTTGTCAAAATTATTAGATCGCAGAGGCAAACATAATCAAAAATTGGATAGGCACAAACAAGGACAGCAGCAGGACTGTTGTGGGGGACTACACCAGGCACATTTGCATTTTACTGGTGAAATACGTATTTACCTTTATAAGTTGACGTGGGGCTAGCTACAGTTTTACCTCCAGCCTGAAGAGTGAGGTTCACTCTGGCCTCTTAGGAAAGGGTCTTCAGTCACCTTCGCTTTCCATTCCATATCTGTAGCAGGAAAATGTTATTTTGGAGTTGCAAAGTCTTCAATGGTTGTGATCTGCTACACCGAGATCTACTATACCAAGCTGTCACTGACTCAGTGTAAAGTGAATTAGTTGCAGAAGAAAGTGGTGTGTGCTATGGGGCAACCCACAAATAGGGCCTGAGGCAGCAAAGGATGGTAGTACCATCTTCACAGGATGCTCCGAGTTGGGATCAGAGACTTTCTGATGGGGGAAAGCACAGGGATCAGTAAGTGTCCTTGGCTTTGTGACAAATCCAGGCAAGCTGCTTGCTGGGCAAGCCTGTCAGCAGCCAAGCCTGAAAACACTGGACAACCTTTTAGCCAGTATTAACAAGTACAAGTCAACAAATTTCAGCACAATAACAGAAAAGTCCTCCCTTTCTGTCCTCCTTCTCATGCTCAGTTTTCCCCGTGCCCACTGCTACTTGCAGGAGTTTGGAGAGGACTGCAGGAAGAGTGGTCCAACCATGTCCAAACAGCTTCATTTCAGACATCACTTGCATTGCAGGGCCGCACCTCTGCTTGCTCAAGTCTCTAAGCCAACCTCAGGTGGTTTAGAGACAAAACAGAAGCCAATTTTCACCTTGTTCTCTGAAAAGAAAAGGCTGCTTTTTCTGCACTGCAAAGTAATGGCAGAGACTGCACTGGGTTTCTGATACACACCAGCCAGACCCAATGGTCTGCATATGCTCACCCTGTACGGCACCAGGACACAGGTCCAGCTTCTTGCTCTTCCAGAGCAAAACGCACAAGCAACAATGGCAAAAGCGCCCCTCCTGCCCCAGGGGAAGCTCTTCCCTGAGGGGTCAGCACTGGGGCAGAGATTGGACCTCAGCCCCAGTGGCAACACCCCAAGTTATTCCCTACCACACAGAGGGAGGTGCAGAGGGACAGGAGCCTAAAAAGGTGCAAAACCAGGCAAAGGGACCTTCCTGGGAGGGCTCTGCGCAGCTCTGATTTTGTGCCAGGCAAGTCACTGCACTCATCTGCCTCTGTATCTGTATCCTTCATCTAAACCTTGCACTCTGCCCAAAAGCTCTATTTGGTCTTGTCTATACTGAGTTTGCACACAATCCATCACAGAAACCTAGATTCACCATTGGCTTAGTCTGACCGTCATACCTTCATAATACTTTTGTACCCAATTGCAGTGAAGATGGACCTCTTCTATGCCTGCAATTTCCTGAACACAAAACTCAGAGTGAAACGGGTTGTATTTTAATCCATTTCAGTGCAAGATCTTCTCTTCCTCCCTCCTCCCATCAGCAGCCAAAAAAACATCTTCAAACCTCTGACAGAAAGATTTTATGGTTGGACTCAATCTTAAAGGTCTTTTCCAACCTAAACAATTCTATGCTAAGACACATGAGGTGGTGTCTTATTCTGAATGGAGTTTCTGGAGCAAAGTTTTGAGCTCATCTACTGCTCTCTCTTGTAGTTTTATTCAGAATGCAATTTGTCCAAAATCTCAACCGTGATGAACTTTCCCAAAACAGAAGCAGCAAGCTGCTTCCTACCATCATATACTTGGCCTGCATCCCGCCTATCCATATGCAGCAGATGTAAATATAATTTACTGGCACAAGGAGCTTTCTGCACATGGCATCTTTCTAAGTCTTCTTTAGTATCCATGTGAAGAAATAAACGATTTTATTGATGTGCTCAGAGGCCCCAGTAACGCTTCATAATAACCTAGAAATGGAGGTCGGTCTTAATATGCATCGATCAATAACTCACCTAATTATGTCTCATATCATTTGGCTGAATTGTTAACAATTCTAACCAAAGCTATAACGATTCCTTACAGACAACATAAGGCTTCCAGGAGCCACATTTCGCTGGCTTCTGTATATTGTACACCTGCAAATTTACAGATTTAGTGCATGCACCAGTTGCATCAGTTAATTTAGGACACAGCCTCTTCTAGCTGTGCCTAATCATTGCAAGTAAAGCTTGCAAAGTCTCCCACCACATTGTGAGATGCTTTGGAGAGCAGATTGGAGCCAAGGCAGACAATATATCTTTTTTTCCTATCCTTTGGAAGTCAAATGGTTAGTAAGATGTTACTTTAATCAGGGAGATGACTATAAAAGTCAGAATGAAACATTCCCAGTGGAGACAACCTGTCTGGTGGCACTGGGAAATCCTGCGTGTCAGCACATTCATTCTTGGCTTTATTCGTGCTCGCTGGATGCGACTCAAAGGAAATGCTGGGCTTCAGTTTCTTCATCAGCAAAATGGGGATAATATTTCCACTTCTGCAAGTCACTTTAAGTGGAAAGCACTGCATTCATGCAAGATAGCTTCATCGTGCCAGTACACCGCAGAGTTTTTCACTTTCTGCCTGGAACATTGCACAAAAATCCCTCCACATATGGAACAGAACAAGTATTGCAGACTGCAGAAGATGTGATTTTTCGGGAGCTGACAGTGCCGCTTATATTCGTGTATTTTCACATTTCAAATACAGGCAGGTTTGGCAATGAAATTTGCAATCATCTGGTGGCTTTTATGAAGTGAGCCCACCATACTGCTCCAGGTTTCACAGGTCCCATCACAACCCTCCCCTGCACCAGCCTTGGCCTCTGCCCAGGCTGGGGCTGACCCACAGAGCCACTGCCTGGTCAGTGGGACATGAGTACCAGGCGCTGAGCAAAGCCCTGAGGCTCACGCACAGGTTTGGGGCAGGGACATATTTGCTACTTCGAATTCCCCTCAGCAAGACTGTGCTGCAGCATCGATTATCATTCCACCATTTGTCCATAGAATCACTGCCCAGGGCACTGGTGGAACCACCATCCCTGGAACTGTTCACAGATGATAATGATGAGGACACTGGTGACATGGGTTAGTGGTGGCCTTGGCAGTGCTGGGTAACGGTTAGACTTGATGATCTTAAAGGTCTTTTCCAACCCAGTTAATTCTGTGGTTCTAATTATTAATGTCAGAAGAATGATATGTGCTTAAATAGTTCAACTTTCTCCTCCCCCTCCTGTATGAGCTTGGAACAAGACTGCAGACAAGTACCATACATCGCACTGCTATCAAAGCAAGAAGAATTATATTTTAATTACTGTATTTATCTCAGAGAACACAATGATTAGTTTTTCTGCTGAAAATAAATGCAATAAAGGCTAACAGACTTTGGTAGTAGAGCCATTAAATCCTCTAAATACAGTCTAGATATCTGGGGTGCAATTAGGACAGAGGGGCTGAGTGCTTCTCGGGGTAAGTGTGCTGGTGCACTCTAACCTGAATCTAATTCTGATCAAAGGCCAAGGCAGAGCAGCTATTTGTGTTGCAATGATTTAGTAGAAATGGGCAACATTACATTTCTAATGCCTTTTGGTCAACGAGCACGTTAAGACTTTCAATGCTACTCAAAGCCTAATTGCTTTTAGCAACTCTTTCACAGACAATACATCCTCTGAGCAAATGCAGTGCTCATGTGTGAAGAAGTCAGGCCCAAAGCAGTGGCCATCAGGATAACAGGACACATGAGAGGAGAGATTTGGTAGTGAACTGCAGAATCCAGACAGCAGTATTAGGCCTCCACTTGTAAAAACAGAGCTGAACAAATAATTCAAAATGAATAATTTATCTGATTAATTTTGTCTCTCCTTGCTCAGGGAATATATATAAGCCAATCACACCATCTTGAATTTAGTAGTTATTCAAATATATTCAGTGACTTTCTTTTCACTATATTTTACTTTTTTTTTTTTTTTTACTCTATGGATTAATCAGAATATTTAAAATTGAAAATATAGAGTTTTCCTGGGGTTGGCCAGACGTGCTCCATGACACTGCTTTTCTTCTGCGAGCAAGTGCCTATGCCAGCACTTCTGGAGCAATCCTTCTGCATGCAAAATTGAAAATTCAGTTCTGACAAATATTTGCATGTGCATCTTTGGCATTCACTTGCTGCCAAGAAAACTGTCAGTAAAATTCAGCACCTCTTACATTTGTAAAATGTGAGAACTAAAACATGCATCTTCACATTTGCATTTAATGTTTTGTTGAGGTTTTCTTCCCCAGTTTCATCTGGAAATTTTAGGACATTGTATTTGCCCCGAAAGGATGCAGCGTTGCCTACCAGGACTGTTATGGGTTTGAGCTATGTAGTACCAGTGGGCTCAAACAATGGGCTGCTGATCCAGAAACCTGTAGTTGTTTAAATGGGCAAATACCACATGCATTGTGTGCAAGACTTTCAAAAGTCAGGGTGGTTTTGCCTTGATGGATGATGTATGCACTATTCCTGCATTGAATAATCCCTCAATTACTGAGTGATTCTTTTCTGCTGCTAAAAAAAAAAAACCCCACAGATTTGAGAAGAATCTGGTGAAAGCTTAAATGACAGTAGCATCAAACATGGGTGAAGGGAAAAGCCAATGCACCAGAGAAAATGTTCATCTCAGCTTTTTGATTAAGAGAACCTGTTAAAGGAACCTCATTTATCTAATGGGTTATTTTTTGCAGCATCCCTTTTCAGGGCAGACCCCAAGCTAAGGTTTCCTGGGAACTCTTACGTTATCTCAGACCTCAACCCCATGTATCTACAAACGTTTCCAAGCACACCTATGTACTTCAGTTGCCCAGTTCTGGTATAACAAGTATCACAGGTTGTATGTCCGTAGAACCAACCAGGCTGGAAAAGACCTTTAAGCTCATCCAGTCCAACCATTCCCCAGCCCTGCCAAGTCCACCACTAACCCTTGGCAGTGAGGGCCCCCTCTACACAGTGTATGAACACTTGCAGGGATGGTGACTCCAGCACTACTTCTCCAATGCCTGAGCACCCTTTCATGTGTGTGTTTGCCTGAGAACTAATACAACGATCTGCAGGATTTATGTGCTAATATATCCTTTGGTTTATCCTTAAAGCAGCCTCTAAATGTTCGTGTGCAAGGATATGAAAAAAATTTAGGGTCTGTCTAATCTTCAATTACATCTGCCCCACTGTTGACTCAGGATGAGAGTGAAACAGAATATATCCCTAACGGTGCTTTGCAGAAGTATTTAGGTGAAAACTCTGCCTGCTGAGAAATATTTGTTCAGGCATCTGTAACAATCAACAGCGGAGCTTGGCGTGGCTGCTGCCACCAACACAAGGCCACCATGTCCTTGCCTATTGAGGATGATGAGGCAGCTGGCACACTTTGGACCACCATAAAACAGCAACAGCTAAAACCTAGCCCAAGCAGTGGGAGGGTTTTCTGCTAGTAAAGACAACCAAGGGCACAGCCAGCTAGCTCTTTTAGGCCAGCAATGACCACAAGTGCAACTATAAAACTCTGGTGGGTAATAGGGTACTAACCCATGGAGCAAACAGAGCTGGGGCTTCAGTTACCAAACAGGATGATTTAAATGGCTTAATTTACACATCACAGCGAGCTTTTCCTACTGCAAATCAATACATTTGCATAGGTTCTTAAAATAATCAGAACATGCTCCTGCATATATTTTTTAAATAGGTACAAAACTCCTTAATGAAAGCCAGAATCCCATCATAAGCTCAAATTTTAGTTCAGCTGGTAGTTATATTTACAGGGAAATATGAATGCATTAAGGCCTGGAGCTAAGCAGCAGCTTAGCAGCTCATTTCTGCAGACAGTAGGATTGCAGGTTCTCACAGACTCAGGTATAAAGCCCCTTCCCACCACCCCATGGTGCAGGTAGAGCCTCTTGAGCACTCATGGCAGCAAATGCATGCAGCTGCGTACAGGAGATAGACATGAAGAAGAAGGGATGCTCAGAGGTTGACTTCCAATGGAAAAAACCTTTACCTAAGCCCAGCATGATTTTCCACTTAATTTCTTGTTATTCCCTTCATTCTGGCTAGGATCAGAAATAGAAGCTCCAAAATGCTACCAGCAAAGCTGCCCTGGCAGCAGAGCTGGGAAAGCCAAGGTACCAAAGCGATATTGCTGGTTGAAGGTTGAAAACACTTGATATAGGCTTGCTGGCACGCATGATCTCCTCTAAGCCAAGGTGAACCTCAGATGGTGTTATCTCCGTGATTGCCCAGGACAGCTGTGCTAACATCTCATCACCCGATCATCTTCGTGGCCTCCTCTGGACTTGCTCCAACAGCTCCATGTCCTTCTTATGTTGAGGACACCAGAACTGCACACAGTGCTGCAAGTGGGGTCTCACTATGGCTGGACCCTTAATCCTGCTCCTTGCCCTCCCTCCATGGCCCTATACAAAGCCTGTGAGGCACAGCCTCCTCACTCAGACCAGCACTGCCATTCAGAAACGATGCAGATAAGCAGTGGATAAAGGGAAGACGCCCCTATTAAGATGACATTTCCTGGCAAGGTACTATCCTGCTGTCCCTCATTTCTTTGCATTCCTCATCCTTAATTTGTTTTCTATTTGATTGCAGGTTTTTAATATTTATTACTCGTGGCTGCATGTGGGGTTGTGGGATGTCAAACTTGACAAAACTTCAAGCAGAGGGAATGATAAAAAGTCTCTCGAAAATCATATTTGCCCCTTAATAATTTAATTCTGTAGAAAGGGAAATCAAAGCAGCACAAATTGATTGCTGTGAAACAAATTACAATTATTTCCACACATCCAAATAAATCTACTAATTTTAGGCATCTGACTTCAGGCATTAGATGGAATATGCAAATGCACATGTTGAAATGATGGCCGTGCCTCTAGAACTGCACATTTTTTTCTCTGTTCTTTCTAGCTGCTCGATAGTTTCAGACTGCTAGCAAGACATGCAGTAAATTAGCTGCTCTTAAGCATTGCCTGTTAACAATATTAAAAAGCAAGGCTGTAAAGCCCAGCTGACAGGTTTAGGCATCCAACACAGGCTCATCCTTTCTGGAAATGCAGACTCTAATGTCCGCTCTTGCCCTCCCCAAATCTGCTCCCAGTAAGGTCATTTTGTCCTAGCAACCATTAACTGAAGCCCTCTGCCCTGCTCTGCCTTTTAGGCAGGGAGCAGCACACAATGAACTGTCCCTGTTGAGCACAAGTTTTCTACATACATTTCACCCAGTGTACTTGTTCGGCTGTCACACTGCTTCACATAAGAGAAGTCATCTGATATTGTTACTGACACACTAGTCTAGCATGGCATTTAATATCAGGCTTTATATAACTCACCGGGATGGCAGAGCAATCTCAGGTAATCAAAACAAATGAAGACAGCCTGAATAATGCATCTGTTAAATCTAAATAACATACAGTGGACACCTTTAAAGTGTTTTCCAGGAAAATGTGACTCAGGTGCAATATTGATTGAGAAGATAAAGGCAGGTGGTTTCGATTCCTATATTATGGAAGCAGAGAGGGCTTTGATAATGTAACAATCATCTTTTGTTATTTTGCTGCAGTCCAATACAGCTAGAATCAATTTTTCATTGTACTCGTTTACTGGAAAAGGGGATAATGGCAAGGACAACACAGCTTTAATAGAAAGAATAAGTCATGATTTAATTCAGATGTTGTACTACAGCTACAAGTTGGAAGATAGATTTATATATACAGAAACAGTACAAAGGAGCCTGCATGCTTTCGAATAGAAGTCATGGCTCTGCATTTCTATTTATTGGTGGTTAGGTGGAATGATGCAGCATTATCCTGACAGCAATAAGAAGCCAGAACCTTTTAAAGTGGGGGAAAAGACAGCTGTAGGATTATGAGCCATCTTTATCAAAACATAAAGGGCAATAGGAAAAGGGCACATTTAGGTCTTCATTAATATTTGTATGTAAGTAAAAATGACAAGCAGAAATACCCAAAGAAACGCTGAGTTCCCAGCCGGTGTAATGCTTTTCTGCACAACTGAGAGATTTCTCCAAGATCTCAGGCATTTGTGATACATGGAAAGTACTCAGGATGATAAAATAATGATTTTCTATTTTTTTCCCCTTTTCCCCTGGCAAAATAGATTGCTTCATGACTTCTTGAGTGAAACACAAATCTAAGAGTGATAGTGTTTGGGGCTGGATTAGTCTCCTGGGGTTGCAACCAGTGTATGAAATTTCATAGCTTTTCCAAGGAGTTCAATAGTGCTCTTCTCTGTGGCGAGACGCTGCTGAATGACCCCTGAAACAACACCCCACAGACAGCACTTCATGAGATTAACACCAAACTTTAGCCCAGAAATCTCTGCATGGCATTATTTCTAAGCAGCACTCATTAATGCCAGCCTATGCCTGAATTTCAGCACAGGCTTTGGAGGAAATCAGAGTCCAGAGTCAAGCTTTAGAGCTCATTTCTACCTCTGTAATAGACCTGCAGCTGAAACTCAGCCTCTCCTTTTAATGACAGATAAAGCAGACGAAAGGGGTAAAATCCTTCCTTGGAATTTCAGGCTTTTGTCTAAAAAGAGAGTCTGGCCTAGTCCTAACTCCTTGTAAGCTGACTCCACATTCCTCTGAGGAGCAAAGAGAAAATTAAGAGCAAACTAAGAAAAACCAGGGCAAAATGAACCCCTTCCCCATCAGCAGCAGCATCTCAGGTGCATTTCTGAGCCTTTTTAAAGCTATAAAGGAATTAGACTCAGCAGGACCAGCTCAGGACCCAGTTCCAGCCTCCAGAGAGCACACCTGGGATTTATGAGATACATGGTCCAAGAAGGAAATCCCTGTAAAACCAGATCTTGGGGAAGACGTGGTATTCAGGTGAGTACTGATTAAATCACGTGAACTCACAAGTTAGATATTTCTTAATCCTGTCTCAGGTCAGAGGAAGTATCTGACCAGCTCAAATCTAGCAACCACGTGAGTGTGATGGAAGCCATGCCCTTCCAAACACTGCTTCGAGCTCCCCCAAACCTCTTCATTTCCAGGTGAAACTTCACACTGAAATAAGAAGATGGGGTAAAATCATTAGCAAACCTTTCACACCCTGGTTCTGTGCCACTGGGAAAGCTGCCTGTGATCTGAAGCATGGTAGCAGGCCCACTTCTGGGCTAGAAAGAATCAAAGATTGACTTCCTTACACATAGAGGTGTTTCAGTTCCCTGGCAAGAAAACAAGCCTGAGACAAAGCACACAAAGGACCCCAAGAGCGGCAAGAATGTCACTAGTAGTGCAATGCATTAAAGAAGATCATTGTAACAAATCAAGTTCCGAAGCGTGACTTCCCCTTTCATGGAGAGAATGGGCTGATTCGTTCCCCAAACAATGGAAGATTTCACGGCGGCTCTGGAACAGATTGCTCTGTTTGCTCCATTACTCACAGCTCGTTTGCCACGTTCAGCAACAAAGGCAAAGGCTAAACTCATCTTATTTGGTGTCCACAATTTAAGACAAAATAATCTAGCTCATAGGAAATGAGGAAATTCTCTGTCAGCATGGACTCAGCTTCAATATGACTCATGACCTGTGCACTATTTTGCACTATGTTGATCCATCTAGGAATAATTGTTGAAACTTTATGGATTTCTTTTGCTGCTGGAAAAAAGCCCCACACTTAAGCCATGCTCTATGACTGTACCCTGATTTAAGTTGCAGATCTCAGTAGGACACGACCATTGTATTTCTGGGGCAGGTGCAGGCCTCTTGTATGACATATATCAGTACAGTGAGTTCTGGGTCCTAAGAGAAAAGGAAGGTTTTTGCATGCTTGGCATTTCCTGGCATCCACATCATACCCAGTTTTGATATGTTGTTTGGTTGCTACCAGTTGGCACTAGTGAACTATCATTTAACATATAAAAGCAAACAAAGATTACTGTATGCAACCCATTATAGAATCATAGAATAGTTAGGGTTGGAAAGGACCTTAAGATCATCAAGTTCCAACGCCCCTGCCATGGGCAGGGACACCTCGCACTAAACCTCTCACCCAAGGCCTCGTCCAACCTGGCCTTGAACACTGCCAGGGATGGTGCATTCACAACCTCCCTGGGCAACTCATTCCAGTGCCTCACCACCCTCACAGGAAAGAATTTCTTCCTTATATCCAATCTAAACTTCCCTGTTTAAGTTTTAACCCATTACCCCTTGTCCTATCACTACAGTCCCTAATGAAGAGTCCATCCCCAGCATCCCTATAGGCCCCCTTCAGATACTGGAAGGCTGCTATGAGGTCTCCATGCAGCCTTCTCTTCTCCAGGCTGAACAGCCCCAACTTTCTTAGCACTCAATCCCACTGTCCATGTCAGCGACAAAGTTGTTAAACAAGACCGGTCCCAACACCGATCCCTGAGGGACACCACTCGTTACTGGTCTCCAGCTGGACATTGAGCCATTGACCACAACTCTTTGTGTGCGGCCATCCAGCCAGTTCTTTATCCACCGAGTGGTCCATTCATCAAATTGATGTCTCTCCAATTTAGAGACAAGGATGTCGTGTGGGACAGTGTCGAACGCTTTGCACAAGTCCAGGTAGATGACATCAACTGCTCTACTCCTGTCCATCAGTTCTGTAGCCCCATCATAGAAGGCCACCAAATTGGTCAGGCAGGATTTCCCCTTAGTGAAGCCATGCTGGCTGTCACCAAGCACCTTGTTGTTTTTCATGTGCCTTAGCATGCCTTCCAGGAGAATCTGCTCCAAGATTTTGCCAGGCACAGAGGTGAGACTGACTGCTCTGTAACTCCCCGGGTCATCCATTTTCCCCTTCTTGAAAATGGGGTTATATTTCCCTTTTTCCAGTCATTGGGAACTTCACCTGACTGCCATGATTTTTCAAATATGATGGCCAGTGGCTTAGCAACTTCATTTGCCAGCTCCTTCAGGACCCGTGGATGGATTTCATCAGGACCCATGGACTTGTGCATGTTCAGATTTTTAAGATGGTCTCAAACCAGTTCCTCTCCTAAAACTACCATTCGATACTATCAGCATCTCACATCAATGCTTTCTGATTTACAGCTTTAGGAAACCTTCCAAGAGTCAGCAAATGACTTGGAGCTGCCTGAAAATGGAAAGGAAATATCTCCAAAGGCTAGTATACATGGATCACACAGGGCTTCATGTTCAACTTCATCCCACTACGGAACTACCAGCAATTCCACTATGGAATTACCAGCCATTTAGCGTGAACACACAGCTGCTGCTCTGCAAGAAGAGACCACATCATTCCACTCCATGCAGCTACAAAGGGATTTCTTTTCACAATACAGTTCCTAGGGTGAAATTTCAGGCTCCTAAAGACCAGCTCCCTCTGCATCTTGTTTCAATAGCAGTACAGGAAGAGAGACTATAGGAAGATCAACTCTGAGACATTGCCAGTTTCCCTTTCCCCACATGATTTTAGTGAAATTTTGTGCCTAAGAAATACTATAGATACAAGGAGATCATTCTCCAACCTGCATATGGGCATAGAAAAATGGGATGTTCACTTTGATCAGAATAATAAGACTTTCAGAGACTGGTTCTGAGGCTGTTAATCATATTGAGTATAGTATAATTCTAGGAAAAATCCCATGGTAACCCATATATTTATTAAGAAGAATATTTTCATTGTTAATACATCAGATTTTTACTTTTATCTGACGTGCTCAGTGATTATAACATAGTGTTTGCATATGAAAGAGTAAGAAAGGAGTGTGTGTTACAGTCTACAGAGGAAGGATTGAGGATGGAGGGGTGTTTGCATTGGTAAATAGTATTAGAAGTAATTGTTTCTAAAAGCATTCAGGTGCATCTTGTTTTGCTTCCATGTAACTAAAAAGGAAGCAACTGATTTGCAACCTGGGATTTGAAATAGCTGATAAAAAGCCAGAAATGTTTTGATGAAGCACTTGTTCAGCAGCTGTGATATCATGCAGTACCTGTTGGGCAAGTGCCAGGCTATCTGCTTAATATCTGGAGATTGACAACTGTTAGGCATGTGATGAATGGCAGGTTGGGAATGTACACACAGTACCTGGACTGCAGACAGGCCTAGGGAAGATATCGTCAGAGACATAAAGTGCAGGTCTGAAGTGAAGACTGTGATCAGTCTGCTGTTACTCATCTCTTATGTTGAGGTTTCTCTGCAAAGAAAAGGTCCTGAAGGCATCCTGACAAGTGCCCTCTGATAGCTTTGCCTTTGACAAATGGTGGACAAAGTTCCTCCTGAGCTATGCAGAAAAACCCAAAGCATCCAAACCTCCCAAGAATCCCATATCCCAGGCTTCCTCTGCTTTTGCCTGTGCATCCTAGTCATAATTCCCTCCTCAGCGACCCAGAACATTTGTGTTCTGCACAAGGACAAGAGTAATAAACCCCAGCACACAATTAAAACAAGAACTCCCACCACACATACATACACAAAACTCTCTCCCTCCTTCATTTACTCTGTGTGCACGGTCCAGAAGCCATCCTGGACCATGTCCACCAGCTTTAGTCTGAGCCCCACAGACTCCTGTGGAGCCAGTCTGGGCTCTGCCCTCCTTCCCCAACACTCTGGACAGAGAGACCCCTTCTCCGCATTCCACATTTCCCTCCCTGGCAGCAACACAGCTTTTGCAGAGGGCACTGTGACATTACCAACCAATAGTGCTTATTGCTCTGTGAACACCCGCAGTGCCATCAGTTACTTAATGTAAGGGCCACCTGGGGGAGACCTGGTCTCCCTGGCACACAGTGAGCAGAGAAGGCTCCTTCCATAGGTACCCGCTCTAAATTGCCTTGTGGAAGAGCTTGTACCTGCCCACTGACTCTACAGCGAGCCTATGGAGACTAAGCTCCTATTTTAGGCTTGAATGCAGTCCTTGCATGGTGTATAGTTGGGCAATCTCAGAGCATAGCACCAAGGTGTCAGTCATCAGCACTTTGAGACATGTATATGTTCATATGCACATGTGCATATACACACACACAGAGCAGCCAGGATGAAAAATGGAATCCACAGGACTAAAGTCTCAGCACCTCCGGATTTCTCTTCTGGAGAACACCAGCACTATTTCATCAGTAGCAGCAGCCCAGGGAAAGCCGCTTGACTCCACTGGTATTAACTCCTGCTTTGCTTCCCTAATCTTTTTGTTTTCAGTATTGTCAAATAACAGACATGCAGAGAGAGATGGAGAATTCCAGCCTAAAAGCCCTTTTCTCTGTTAGAGCAAGTGTTATCCCTGAGGTCAAGGATTGTCTGAATCAATAACACACCAATCTCAGTAGCCCCATTTAAATGGTGAGTCAGTTCACATAATCCAACCACATGTCAGATGAAAAAGAATGGTTTAGCAAACACTTTGCAGTCATCTGCTTTTTAGAACTTCGGAGTAGTAAATTACTGGATATCAGCCTATTGCTGCAACTATATATCTTTACACAATAGCAATTTTTCTTAGAGTTTTCTCCTGCTCAGCTGCTTATCAAGTATTTTTATATACCCCATATTTATTTTCAAATACCGTTTGAAAGTGTTCACTGGAATTTTGCCATCTACAGAAGTTTTAAAGGACTAAGTCCAACCAGACTTCACAAGAGCATTTCTCAGGCAATGAAAGCCGAGACAAAGAATTTGGTTGCCTAAAATTCAGATTGAAAACCAACTTGCCTCCAGCCCAGTTCTAATTTAGGAGCAGCCTTTGCCTCCCAAACCAACTGCATTCAACTGGGCTGCTTTAACCACATACACCTCTGTCAGGAGTTTTAATACATACATTAGTTAAATTAACCAAAGTTCATATATTGCCCTGTTTTCTATCAGAGTGATAATAACTTTCCTGCCTAGCTTCTCCTCCTCAGCACCAAAAGCAGCCGAATCCCACTGACTGCTGGGGCAGAAGAAGGGAGGGGTAGGATGCCCAGCAACACCCCATAGCGAGTCCTGGGGACAGTCAGAAGGGGAACTTGCACTGGAGAGGTCCCCCTAAACCCATCCTGCCCCCTAAAACAGGGGGAAGGACCAAAACACACCAAGGCACCCCCCATCAGGCACAAACCTGCATGGCCACAGCTCCCCCTTCCCTACAGCAGCACTGGGACACGGCCATACTTTACCCAAAGCAAGAGGTCACTTGAAGTTACAATGCCTCTCAAGCAAGGAGCATGTTAAAATGGGGTGGGGAAGGAAACCTTAATTGAGAGATTTGGTAGGTAGACCTTTTTGTCTACAGAAAAGGCCAAAATATCTAGTGGCTAGAAGTCTACCCCCAAAAAGGCACCAAAAATGTCTAAAGCAGCACAAAAACATCTCTGGTATCATGAAAAAAGAAATCATTTAAAGCTGTTTTCTGATTTTCTTGTTCAGGTTTTCTTTGAGAATGCACAAGAATGCCACTGCCGATACTTCCTTTATTTATGTGAGTCTCTCACAAAGGCAGGAGAGCAGTCAGTGAACAGAATGACAACAGCAAACCCTTTCTCTTGCCCATTGTAACTACAAGTGGTATGTGTATAATGATTTGCTCTGGGATCACTCTGAAAAACACGTGTGAATTTGAATCACGTATCTGATGTTCCAGTACAGAAAACACCACGCTCACCCCAGAGCAGCTCTGAATCAGTCCTTACGAGCCCAAACATGGTTAAGATTTGGCCTTCAGCAGCCAGCATGCTGTAACTGCATCACCAAGACACAATGGACAGTAAACCAAGCATTCCTGGGAGCAAACAGCTGAGCAGGGATTGAACTCTATTATATGGCACATTTCTTGCCAGGGGATGTTTTTGGTAGGTACCACATACCTGACAGCATGTCTTTACTTACTCTGTGTGGAAGAGGAAAACCAGATCCCTTCTTAGAACTGAAGAATTTCAGCCAGCCACAACAGAGGGGCTTTAAAGAAAGGAAAAACCAAAATCAGTGCTGGCTGTTAAAACACTGCAAGAGAGAAGAGCAGCGCTGTGATGCCCATCCTACAGCACCAGACATCAGCAGTGCTGGTTTCTGACAGGGATTTTTAGCAGTTTCATGTGAAAGTTAAACTAATACTGCTTTTATTCTAAATGTCTGGTTTTACATGAGCATGAAACCTCCAGGGAAACAGTTGGTGCATAAGTTACTGCTTCCCTGTCGAAACTTGCCAGCAATGGAATCTATTGTGACACCCTGTCTTAAGCAGATGGATACCATAACTGACATTAAATACAATGCAGGGTCCTACTAAAACTGAGTGAAACCTGACACAAGCATCAAAGTTCTGCAAGTGATGCAAAATTTACTAGGAGCATTGTCTTTAGTGTAGGTATCTGGGAGCATGTGTTGCACTTGCCCCACAGCCAGGTCATTGTGGCCCTGATTTTCTGCTCATTTGCAAGCATCTGTAAATCCCAGAGATTAGGAGCTGCTTGGTAAAGCTCTGCTCGTACCTCTCAATTGGCTGCTGTGGAAACAGCGATTACAAGTTAAATTTCATCATGCTTAAAAATAATCCTCTTTTTCTCCCTCTGGTTTAAGGTTACCAGACTTAAAAGAAGGCAGCAGACAATTAGGAAGGAAGGGAAGCAAAGCTGCAGGCTGGGACAATGCGTACTGCTCCTGCTCCTTCTTCACAGGCAGTGCCCCTTGGCTCCACCAGCATCTTTACAGTGGTAAAGTCACAGCTGAACCTCAGAAGCGTTCCACAGGTCAGGTCTTTACATCCATAATGGCCAGAAATCCTCAATATTGCAGGGGGTTTCTGGAAGAAGTAATGTCTCAATCACATTCCTACTATGGAAGCAAGAAGAACAAGGCCACTCAAAGGAGTACTTGCAGCTTGCCCCAGGGACAAGAGCTGATCTTCTCTAAGCCTCAGGCTGAGATTTGATGTTGCACCGCCTTTGGCTTTCAAATGCATCTAATTAAAACAAACCAGTTCTCTCCCTTCTCCCAGTTACAGACATCAAAACTGAAATGAGGACGCTGGTTTTGGATAAGAGTAGACTGAGGAGGCTCATGGTATGGGTTGAAATCTTGCCATTTCATTCTCCTCTTTTCTTTCCTAAAGAAGAAACCCAAACTTGTAAATATATTCAAAGACCCAGGCCATTTCCCACTGTAATTTATGCTTGCATTTGGGTGAGTGTATGTATGTTTATGCCTTTGTTAAAAGTATTTAGGAATTGGAAAACGGGAAGTTTCTTGTACTCAATTGGATCATTAATGGTGATTTTTAGGAGCATTCAGATGAAATTGTCCCATTGCAGCTTTATCTTTCCTGTCTGCTTCTTTAAAATGTGCATTACAATCCTAGGTTACTAATATCTGAGGAGCAGAACACAGGCACTCTTCGAGCTGGTCTCAAAGAACAAAACAAGATTTAAGAACAAAAAATATCGCTTAAGGAGAGAATCATCCCAGCTCTTGAGAAATACAAGTGGTGGTAAGACTGCTATCTCATATTTAAGCCAAATTACAAGCCCTGCTCTTTCTTAACACCCTGGCAACTAAACTAAAGACTACCATTATCAGTCGGAACCTGAGCAGAAAGAGTAAGTGCCTAGACCAAGGTAACAAGTGCAGGGGAGGAATGCAGCCTCATGACTATGTTGTGTGCTAGATTGCAAGCCAGCTATTTAGAGCTATATCCTTTCCTCTCAGCTAAAGCCATCTGTGTACAATGCAGAATTAGAGCATCCTTAATGGCTGGGCCACTGCTGTCTTATGGCATGAGAACGTTTTTGCTTCCTTTTCTTGTTCCTAAGGCATGTTGAAATACTACAGACTCACAATTAAACTCTAAAACAAAACTAGGAAGTTGTCGGTCTCTACAAACAACTTAGCTTTTTGTTTTTACTAGATTCTGCCCCCTATTAATGTGCCCTGTGAAGAAAGCGCATTAAAACTCACAACCCCCTCTTCTGAACTCCACATGGTATAGATTATTTAACAAAGTCTTGATGCTTTATCAATAGTAAGAATCATTTTGGGTAACAATATAGGGAGAGCATAAAATTCTCTTGCTTTACACACTGTGTACCAGGGTGTCCAGTTGCATCTCTGAAGAGACCCACATCACTTGATCTCCACATCACTGAGACAAATCTGTCAATCCAACACTTGCATACCTGGGCATCTTTGGTTGGTGACTCTTGTCCAGCCAGACAAAACAGAGGAGCTCATTTCACATGTGAGCTTCATGGTCTGCAAGAAGGAAAGGTCAAAGGGTAGCAGGCAAAAACTCTTTGCCATTCAGTTCTAATTTCCCTCATCAATTATTAAACCCTCCCTTATGCATTTCCATCTTTGATAGTCTTGTGGGTATGAAGTGTAAGTCAATGGATAAGCTAATTGCAATAAGCAGAAGTGGTATTTAATGCACTGGACACTTTCAACAGCAAAGTAGTTCTAATTAGTGTTTCTAACTGATGTGACAGCAGTTTACAGAGCGCCAAAATAGTTCCTCATTTGTCAAGTGGGTCCAAAGCTTATGGCAGCTTTCTGATCATCTCCCTTGCCGCAGGACCTGAAAGCACCTTCAAAAAGCTTTCTCTCATTGATCTTTAGTCAGATGCTGACTGAAAGGCACACAGCTTTGCCAGAAAGAAGACAGATAGATGCTGCAACAGCACGAAAATGTCACTCGCTTAATGAAAAAGGGTATCTGTTCATAACCCTTCTGTATGCATGTATATGCAGACACATGCAAGCCCAGCCCCTAAGAGGCAGTGAACAGAAGCAGTTTTATTAAGCATCTGAATGTGTGTGTATTGTCTGCATAAGCTCATCACATCAGCTCATACGACATCCTTATGCATGCATAAATATGACATCACACAATCTAGAATGGCAACGGAGACTTTAAGAGGTGCATTAAGCTCTTCCCTCTAGATTTCTCATTGAATATGAGGCATCGATGAACTACAACATTAGTTTCAAAATGTCAGAATTTACTTTCCTTGCTATGATTTTTCTTCTGCTCTATCGATAGTTCAGCCATCCCGCTGTTCTCCGAGGGCTGAGCGAGTAAATGATGGCATGTCAGATAAAGAGCAATATTTGCTGAATACAGTGTCAAGAAAGTTCAGAGCAGTTTTCCCTTTGTTACACTTGTTTTATGGCCATCACTAAATAATTAAATATTGTGGTTAGTTACGGGATGAACTATGACATTTTCCTATGCAGCTCAGATAACATTCAAAAAGAGCCCTAAAAGCATTCATGAGAGGGAAGAGAGGAAGGAAGGGCTTCTGGAAAGTGTTTGTAAATTCGCTGCCAAGTGGGTCTGTTAAAAGCTACTCTTTACTGAAACACATGCACTGGATAGCAGGAGCAGTGTTGATGTGGTACAACCAGAGATATTTTGACGATACCATATGCAAACCATAAACTCACTTGGCTGCTCAAGATCCACCTGTGATGGATGCTCCAGAAATTTCCCTGTGCCTGAAAAAGGGAACAGCAAAGAAGCTGAACAAACAAGCAGAGTGGTACTTGCACTGCTGGGCTGCCCATCTCCCTTGGGTCCAACACCAGATGGCTCTCACCACATATCCTGGCTCGTGGGGTTGTCCTGGCAGCCAAATACCTGGTGCAAAGCAGCATCCTTGCCCTGCTGTCTCTCATCATCACTCCTTCTCTGCTGTGGTTCTTGGGAACAGTATTGAAAAGCCAGCAGATCCTTCAGAAGTGCTGAGTGAAGCCTCCACTGGTTCATTAAGGAAGATTTAGGACTACTCTTGGCTCCCTACCTTAGCCTACGTCAGCCTTGAGGGATACACTGGCCCCCAGTCCAGCCTGTGCGCTTCCTTCAAATGAAAGCTGAATTGAAAATGTATTATTTGCACCATATAAGGGTTAAGCCAGTAAGAAAAAATAAAGAACAGAAAGAACAACCCTGAAACTAGATACTGAAACTGAGGCAAAAAGAAAAACCTACCAAACCCCATTTTCTTTCAGCACAGCAACAGGGGCTTCAGTTTCTCAGACTCCAAAGGTCTGGTGCAGTCAGGAGCTACTTGACTGATGTCAACTCTCCTTTCTCTCCCAAGGCTAATTCCCAGCCTAAAAAACCCCACAGGGTAAAGATGGTTTTCTTGATTTTTAAGTACGGCTTTCTTGTCGATAACTGTTAGATGCTTGATGTTCCATTGCTTAATATGAACAGCAGCTCTGGGACATGGCCATACTTTGCCCAAAGCAGGAGGATTTGAAGTTTTAATGCCCCTCAAGCAAGGAGGGTGTTAAAATGAGGTGGGGAAGGAAACCTTAACTGAGGGATTTGGTAAGTAGGCCTTTTTGTCTACAGAAAAGGCCAAAATATCTAGTGGCTAGAAGTGCCCCAAGAAGGCACCAAAAATGTCTAAAGCAGCACAAAAATGTCTCTGAGATCATGAAAAAGAAATCATCTAAAACTATTTTCTAGCTTTCTCGTTCAGGTTTTCACTGAGAATGCACAAGAATGCCATTGCCAATACTTCCTTTATTTGTGTGGCTCTCACAAAGGCAGGAGAGCAGTCAGTGAACAGAATGACAACACCAAACCCTTTCTCTTGCCCATTGTAACTACAAGTGGCCTGTGTATAATGATTTGCTCTGGGATCACTGAAAAATACATGTGAATTTGAATAGACATGTGAAACAAGCATGACACCAAAGAATACCCAGCTGAGGATAAGGCTCTCTGTCCAAAGAGGTAACCATTCCCTCCCTCTGAAGCCTATCCCTGTAAATATTCCATAGGCTGCAAATATACATCTGCAGTAAGAGCCATTTCAGATCAATCATGGAGGCTGAGACAGATAATTCGCTTGCAGGAGACTACAGCTCAAAGTGCATGGAAGGCTATGTCACTTAGTGCAGCACAGGCAATTAGGAGTATGGAAGGGACCGGGTCAGAACACAAGTCAGAAATA